TCCATAATAGATACTAATCGTTGCAGCAATCGGTCATCTACATAGGACTGATACTGCTGCTGACCTATCTCTTCAGCCTGGCCAACTGCAGACGCAACAGCAGGATCAACAATGTCTCTTGTGTTCAGTCTCAGAAGGTCACTCTTATCTACAATGAATGGGTTGCCCATTTCCACCAAGACTTCAACAAGACTTTGCACATGTTGGGCAAAGATCACTTGGGAGCTCTTTTTCTGCTCATAGTGGTGTGTCTCTTGTCCTTTGAGTTCTGTCTCCAAGGATGCTTCAAATTCAGCAGTCATTCGCATCACTCCTGGTCCAGCACGCATCCAACGTCTGAGTGCCGCAGGAGTTTGGGTAACAGCCCCACCATCACTCTTCACAGCAGCATTATTCTTTTCATTGACCTGGTCCATAGCCATTGATTAGAAGACCCGTTTTGACTTGTGAACCGTAAAGTTTCCATTGTTGAACTTTGCTTCTATTTGTGGGTGAGCTTTCTTCAGACTTGCCATCTCTCGAATGTAGACTGGTACCCACCGTGCATAGTTAATGTGGTCCATGCTGTAGAACCATGGTGCAATCTTTGTCAGGCTGTCCACATAAAGAGAGAAGTCTGCTGTTCGCAGTGATCTGATGTATGTCAGGACCAGCAATTCCAGCTGGAGAGCGGTGTACCAGAACTTGAATTGGGGGGTTGCATCACACTGCCGAGTGAACCAGTCATCAAATTGATCAGCTTGGCTTCCGGGTTCCAGGGAGTCTGTGTACTGGGTGTAAGCCTTCCTCAGTAGGATATACAAGCTGCTGGCAGTCACTTGATGTGCGTGTCTTGGTCTTATGACATGGTATGCCTTTCAGGAAGGAATCTGCAGTTCCAGCAGATGCCACCTTTGCATAGACATGGGCCTCTACCCATCCACTGTCTTCTAGCCAGTCTCCAATCACCTTGAGTGCTGCCATCTCAATGTGAAGGCCTCCCAGGATAATGATGAAATTGTCCATATTCCGCTGGCCAGTGCCACTGTATCTGCTTCGCAATTGCGTAGAGTGGTTGATCCACAGTGATCACTGGTACTTGCCCTGGGTTGATTTTCTGCACGGCTTGCTTTATTACATCCATTGTGTGCCGTACCATTGCAACAGACTTTGAGTCATCAGGAAACAGAGGTAGCAGTGCAGTGATAGCAGGGGTGCACTCCTGTGCTGGCTGGTGACTGGCATGATGGGCGGCCCAGGATTTATTACTGTCACTGTGGACATCCAACAGATAAGTCTTCTCCACCCACTCCAGCCATCTGAAGAATATTATAAGAAAATGATAAGTCTTGTTGCTTCAGTGGTTTATGCAGTGCCTTGATGAATTACACAATGAATGATATTGACCTCGTCTCATATTGCAATGCTTGATGGACACAGCGACTTTTTCTGGTGGCGCCAAATCTGGAATTGTTCTTTAGGCTGGTCTATCTTATAACAAATTTCATGCTGTTATGACAAATGCTCCATCCTTTGATATTGTTCACATATCTGCTGGGCAATATTGTGAACACAGTATGTTTATCTACATTCTACCATGACAAAATACATTCGAACTCTTCGGTGTTAGCAAAGATGTTGAGTGAATCGGCATGGATTGAATCCATTGCTTTTTTGGGTTGGCTATGTGCATTTAGGAAACATCAATAATAGCCATTAGACATAGTTTGTATATGCTCAAACCCTTATATTTCATAACATTATACTTTAATCGCCAATAAACCATGGCTCGGGCACACACGGGCACACACACATGAGGCATCGCTGAAAAAAGGCAGAGGCGATTGACCGATTCCGCCTAGATAATGAGCATGTGTTTATCGATCACTATCAAGTAGATGAAACTAGGTGTTCGCGAAAAGGTGTAAGTAGCATGTCTCACCGATAGCACCAGTCACAAACACATGCAAAGGCATGCAAATGACACGTTTACAGAAACTTTTGGTTTTGCTGCTTTTATTTCTGGACTCACTATCAACACCATTCTTACCATCAAGGCACGCATCGTATATTTCACACAGTGAAACATTCAATCATAAACTCCTCAGAAACCTGCTTCATTTAATCATTCTCATGGCCAGAGATGTTCGCCCACATCATGGATGCAACTATACATTGAACTAGTTATGTACACCAAATACAGTCCTGGCTGCTTCAGACGGATTGGCGAATTGAAATGATGAAATACACATACATGGACTTAATATATGTAACCCCATAAGACTGTAATCAAACAGTAACAGACAACACTAACAGAACATCGGAAGACAGTACACCATGGGGTGTGCACGAGTGAGTGAATATTGTTTTACGCCACTTTAAGCACTTTAAACAATATTCCACCAATATCACGGCAGGGGACAAACGCAATGTGCTTCACGCATTGTACCCATGTGGTGAATCGAACCCGGCTTGACGAACGAACGTGGATATATTAACGTTATGTGCATGAATTAAGATTGAAAGTTTGCTCTTCTCCCATGTGTAGTATAAGGAAGTATAGTTTTATTTTGAACTATTATAGTTAAATCTTTGATGTTATATTGGTTCAATTAGGATGGGTGTTCAGTTTAGAGGTATGATTATGGCATATCAAAGATACAATTACGAAAAAGAGTTCTTAGATTTAGCCAATAAAAACTGTACATTGATAGTTGAAATGGCTTCTCTAAAAACTTTGATCGCTTTCTTTGTACTTATTTCTGTAGATCTTACGATGCGTGGTTTTGCCAATTCCGCAAGGCTAATTTTGCTGACACTTACAAAGACACTGAGTTCAATATCAGTCTCATGTATAAGGACAGGAATCCCAACGTCGGCTGCATTGAACATTGACAAGCATATCGTCATTGCTCGTGTTTAAAAACACATTTTCGGCAACCAATCTCAAACTTTCAATAATCAACTTCCTTGCGATGTTTCTGTTTTAGTATATTTTGGTTGTAAACAGGTTTACACTTAATTATTTTAACATACAAATTGCAAAAAAAAACCACAACGCAATCTTCCGAAGTAGGCAGGCGCCGAGCAGCATGAAGATGACCGTCATGTCGCGATCATCATACTTCTTACAGTGCTAAGGGCGGTCGGGAAGCCTAGTGGTTAAAGCGTTCGCTCGTCACGCCGAAGACCCAGGTTCGATTCCCGACATAGGTACAATGTGTGAAGCCCATTTCTGGTATCCCCCGCCGTGATATTGCTGGAATATTGCTAAAAGCGGCGTAAAACCATACTCACTCACTCACTCACAGTGCTAGACGAATGACGCACACTTGACTTACCAACCGTACGAGAGACATGTTTTTGCAGACTCGACAGTCTGTATTGTAAACATATGACAGATTTTTTATTGCAGTCTGTCAGTTTTCATTTGTAGGTTTGCTTATAAATTATATTTCAAATATCCATTTTTCTAAAATCCAAAGGTGATAGAAAGCAATAAACGTCCTCTTGACAGTGTCAAAAGTTTTTTTAAATCTACTAAGAATAAAAGGCCAGGCACGTGGTTTGTGTCAGTAGATACTATCAAATCATAGATTTGTCGTGTTATCTCACCAACGTATACGTATCTGTCAGACATACAACCTTTCAATACAGACTTGAGCCACCAACATACTGACAGAGACGCAACTTGAAAACTGACAGTAATGAAATTTGTCGGTAATTTGTACGTACTTTTTAGACTCATTTCCTTCAAGTATACAGGTGATCAGGTTTGTGTGATGATGACCATTCGCCTTTTATGTAAGAGTTAATTAATGGACGTCAAGTTATTTTATATTCAAGAGTGTTCACATTGAGATTATATCAGATAAGAAAACAAATACATAAACTCTTTTCAGTGAATAATTCAATGTCAGTTGTATTTATCTGACATACCAAATGTCGAGCCAAACACGTGAAATAAAACGTGAAATAAAAGCGACAAAACCCTTACATATTCATAAAAACAAATATCTGCTAAAAGCAGAGTCGATTTTACGATTCTGACTTAATCATGAGCATGTGTTTATGAATCACTATCAAATAGCCATGACACCAAGTGTTCGCAAAAAGGTGAGCGAATCCTACCCCACCGTTGGCACCCGTCCAAACACATGTGAAGGCAAGGCTATTGTTCACATGAAAAAACACGGGAACATATGGTACATGTCAAAAGAAATTCAATTTCTGTTTCGTTAAATGTGTGTTCAGTCGTAAAACTTCGCTCATTACAAAGGCCTGGACAGGGTTCCAAAAATGCTGGCAGTACACCATGCTTTCTTGCATGGAAATACCTCAGAGCTTGTATCGTACTACACGCCAACATATATGTTTCACAAGGACTGACTGATATTATGAAAGTGTTAATCTCATAGAGCTTACGTATTCTCTATTTCAGTGGTAACCTCCCAAAACCCCTACATCCCATTTCCCCTACAGCTTAAGATAACAAAGTTCACGGTCCATGGCACTGGTAATCCCTAGTCTGTTACCTATTTCATACAATGGAACAACCAAAGAAACACGAATAGAGTCTAAATTGAGATAAATATTTAATTACGATTACGATATTATTCAAAATTCATACTACATTATTATAAAATGTTCATTTTTCAAAATTCATAATACATTATAACAAAATGTTCATTTTTCAAAATCATCTCATCATACAGGCATCTTACATTACACTTACATCAATTCTTTTTTTTAAAAACTTTCCTTTAAGTCCCCTAATCCCCTCCAGACCTTAATCTCTACTTGAGGTGAGTTCATAATGCCAGACAGGTAAATGCCGTGTGTTGTTTTATCTAATTGTAGGGGAATTGGGTTGTAGGGGAAATGGGATGTAGGGGTTTTGGGAGATAACCATTTCAGTAGATATACATATAAACAATAAATCAGGAAGTATATTTAGGTACGTAAAGATAGCAGTTATTCTTGATCACACCATGACCTTGACCTGTAGCCTTCGTTAATTTATCTGCGAAACGCACCCAAATTGTAATCTTTGGTCACTCAGAAAACGTGCTCAAATATCTTCAGGCAAGTGAAGTCAGACATAATCATGGCTATGAATACTGTTCTCGTGGCGTTGCTTCTTGGAATACATTGTGGTAGGTATATCCTTGACGTATCTTCTTTAGAATAGCATGTGGCTTAGAAAAAATACCAAACCAGCTATTGCTGGCTGTAAGATAGATTGGGTCGGCTATTCAGGTTCTTTGACTTGGTTACTTGTGTGTCTCATGTCCCTATCGTGTAGAATATTGCAGATCCTTCAATAACTGGTTTATCTTAAGCTTATCTTTAAAATTATTGTCTTACACTGTCAAGTGTGTAATGCTACATTCCATGCAGGTGCTCACGGTACAAATCTACATGTACACACCTACACGGTACAAATCTACATGTACACACCTTCACGGTACAAATCTACATGTACACACCTACACGGTACAAATCTACATGTACACACCTACACGGTACAAATCTACATGTACACACCTACACGGTACAATTCTACATGTACACACCAACACGGTACAAATCTACATGTACACACCTACACGGTACAAATCTACATGTACACACCTACACGGTACAAATCTACATGTACACACCTACATGGTACAACACTACATGTACAGACCTTCACGGTACAAATCTACATGTACACACCTACACGGTACAAAACTACATGTACACACCTACACGGTACAAATCTACATGTAAACACCTACACGGTACAAATCTACATGTAGACACCTACACGGTACAGATCTACATGTACACACCTTCACGGTTCAAATCTACATGTACACACCTACACGGTACAAATCTACATGTACGCACCTACATTGTACAAATCTACATGTACACACCTACACGGTACAAATCTACATGTACACACCAACACGGTACAAATCTACATGTACACACCTACACGGTACAGATCTACATGTACACACCTTCACGGTACAAATCTACATGTACACACCTTCACGGTACAACTATACATGTACACACCTACATGGTACAACACTACATGTACACACCTTCACGGTACAGATCTACATGTACACACCTACACGGTACAAATCTACATGTAGACACCTACACGGTACAAATCTACATGTACACACCTACATGGTACAACACTACATGTACACACCTTCACGGTACAGATCTACATGTACACACCTACACGGTACAAATCTACATGAACACACCTACACGGTACAAATCTACATGTACACACCTACACGGTACAACACTACATGTACACACCTACACGGTACAACACTACATGTACACACCTTCACGGTACAAATCTACATGTACACACCTACACGGTACAAATCTACATGTACACACCTACAAGGTACAAATCTACATGTACACACCTACACGGTACAATTCTACATGTACACACCAACACGGTACAAATCTACATGTACACACCTACACGGTACAAATCTACATGTACACACCTACACGGTACAAATCTACATGTACACACCTACATGGTACAACACTACATGTACACACCTTCACGGTACAAATCTACATGTACACACCTTCACGGTACAAATCTACATGTACACACCTACACGGTACAAATCTACATGTAGACACCTACAAGGTACAGATCTACATGTACACACCTACACGGTACAAATCTACATGTACACACCTACACGGTACAAATCTACATGTACGCACCTACACGGTACAAATCTACATGTACACACCTTCACGGTACAAATCTACATGTACACACCTTCACGGTACAGATCTACATGTACACACCAACACGGTACAGATCTACATGTACACACCTACACGGTACAGATCTACATGTACACACCTACACGGTACAAATCTACATGTACACACCTACACGGTACAAATCTACATGTACACACCTACACGGTACAAATCTACATGTACACAAATCTACATGTACACACCTACACGGTACAAATCTACATGTACACACCTACACGGTACAAATCTACATGTACACACCTACACGGTTCAAATCTACATGTACACAACTACACGGTACAACACTACATGTACACACCTACACGGTACAAATATACATGTACACACCTTCACGGTACAGATCTACATGTACACACCTACACGGTACAAATCTACATGTACACACCTACACGGTACAAATCTACATGTACAGACCTTCACGGTACAGATCTACATGTACACACCAACACGGTACAGATCTACATGTACACACCTACACGGTACAGATCTACATGTACACACCTACACGGTACAAATCTACATGTACACACCTACACGGTACAAATCTACATGTACACACCTACACGGTACAAATCTACATGTACACAAATCTACATGTAAACACCTACACGGTACAAATCTACATGTACACACCTACACGGTACAAATCTACATGTACACACCTACACGGTTCAAATCTACATGTACACAACTACACGGTACAACACTACATGTACACACCTACACGGTACAAATATACATGTACACACCTTCACGGTACAGATCTACATGTACACACCTTCACGGTACAGATCTACATGTACACACCTACACGGTACAGATCTACATGTACACACCTTCACGGTACAGATCTACATGTACACACCTTCACGGTACAGATCTACATGTACACACCTACACGGTACAGATCTACATGTACACACCTTCACGGTACAGATCTACATGTACACACCTTCACGGTACAGATCTACATGTACACACCTTCACGTTACATATCTACATGTACATACCTACACGGTACAAATCTACATGTAAAAAAGTACACGGTACAAATCTACATGTACACACCTTCACGGAACAAATCTACATGTACACTCCTACACGGTACAGATCTACACATAGTTACATGTCCAGTGATAACGATGTCTATTTGTACACATTTGACTGCTATCACCATCACCAGTATCATACTATGTCAGGTACAAGACACTTGAGTAGTTACTGCTGATATTCTGACAAACTGTCGTATTTACTTTGAACTATCTGTAATGCAGATGTCAATTAACACGACATAATTTTAACTAGCACTTCTTCTTTTTGTATATGGGACTCTTTCATGAAACAAACTCCTATCATATGTCATTTAGACAGATAGTGTCGGATATTTAAGTAATTTTGTTCAGATGATGACAAACTCTCGAATAACATGTGTATGCATTTTGTAAAAGTTTACCTTACCCAAATTTTCAACTACCATAAGCCCTCCCATTAGAGAAACTGTTTCCCAACTTTGCCTGCTTCTGAAACATGTAAACCACATCATTGACCAAGTATGACACAAGCTGACATTATGCTTCACCTATCTACATCTATGCAATAATAATAACTGCAGACAATGTATCTTATACTGAATACAATCGGTCAACTCTGGTATTTAGTTTTGATCTGTGACAGAAACGAAAATTTTATTTAGAGAACACAAAGGTGTATGTGAGTACCACTGATAGACTGATATTTTCTATTTACCAAACACCACAGCGTTGGCCTACCCGACTACTCTGGGGCCACCGACCACCTACCCGACTACCAGGGGGCCACCGACCACCACTCCTGAATGTACAGACAATAGCGGCAGCGTCAAAAACTGCATGTCTTACTTTTGCTACGAAGGAAAGTTGCAGCCATTTGAGTTCACTGCAACGCAGTCGTGCTGTGACAAGATGCATCAAGGTGGAGGTGGTATGCATCCAAGATGCATCATGATGTACCCAGGTACCACATTCTTACCACCCATATCTCAGACCCAATTTGTTTCTCGTGACACACGTTATATATCTTCCTGAGCAGAGCCAATATCCGTTGCCTTGAGTTGCTTGGTGTTAACACCTTGTGTGACCTGCATATGTCACTGCCTAATCTAGCCTTTAGATTATATGCAAATGAGATTAAACTCAGGAGAGGACAAGGTTGGTAACAGTCCACATTTACTTAGGTGTGAATATTGAGTGGACGTGTGGGAATTATGTAGCAGCTAACGGTCAGTTAAGTCATAGAAGGTGTGTCTTCACCTGACATTCTTGTTTGAAAGCATTGAATCCCATTCATAAGAATTGTTAAAAGCTTATATATATTCAGAGTATATTACGTATGTCTTTGTGCACTTTCAGAACGCTACGGGACCACACCACCATCCCTCATAGGAAAATGATGAAACACAAAGTTTCACCAATGCATAAAATAGAGTGCGTCAAGCCTTTCCACAACATGATGTTTTTATTCTAATAATCCTTGATGTTCAAACACACATAATGGTGTAAATACTCCAAGAGTAATAACGCGATGTAAAGGCAATAAAAAAGTAACATAATTTCTTCTCTTCGCGTTCCTGGTGTTATCGTACCCGGTGGCGTTGGTCGAAGATTACGATTATATACATAACTTGCAAACTGTTCAATGATTTTCAACGAAACTTGGCATCTGCATTGCTCATAAGCGGAACTGGAACCTTTTGCTATTTTAATGTAACGGACCCTACCTTTGCTTGACATTAAGTCGAAGTTATTTCTTTGGTGATATAAAAAAATAAACTTGAAAACAATTAAAATAGCAAAAGGTTTCAGTCAAATGTCAAACATTCATGTATATCCTTTCAAAATAACGTTTCTCAAAAGTGTCTAAGTTTTGCTAATTGTCCATAAACCAATTTGTAGTTCAAATATCATTGTATTATACTAATTTAGACCACTAGCACAGATGGCAGGGTTCCATTAAGTTGACAACATATGAATATCAAGAATGTCTACATATCATCATTGGTCGTGTTGGATGTAATTGTTTATTCTTTATTATATGTCTCAAGTTTTTTAGCACATATAGTATTATCGTAATTATGTATTTGAATTTATTCCAAGGACTATATTATAGCTGGAATGTTGCTGATTTCGGAGTAAGACAACAAATGTCCTTCAATGGGTATTACTCGGTGTGTCTTCAGTAACCGAAAACAACACATTCAATTACACATCAGTTACACCATGTAAGCATGTATAATTATTGATTAACCTATATCATATATTCAATAAATACTTCAGAACAACCTAAAACTTCAGTTCTTTTGTTGTTAATTCCTACATGTTGGGCGTTTCTTAATTACTTGGCACTTGTATGCAGCAGACGTCATTCAAAATTAGCATACCGTTTTAGTTTCAACAAAATCAATAAACGCGCTGTCATGTCACTGGATTGTCTGGTCCAGGAGAAGGACATTCATATGGATCCACTGTCTAATCGAGTGTATTTTTCGACGGATACATCACAGATGTACCTCTTTTTAATGATATCCATTGTAAAAGTAATAAAATGCGAAGATTGGCGTACACAAAGAAAGTAAAACTGTTCAGTGTAAACAAAATTCCTTCCCGCAAGTCAACTCCGAACACATTTATCGGGCAGTTTTTTTATTATATTAGTGAGTGAGTTAGTTAAAAGCTAACGTCACATCGGCACTATTTCAGCCATATCGTGACGAGAAAAAAGTAATACATTCAAAATAGACATATTTATCTCTCGTCGAAGAACAGTAAATTATCTAGAGTTATCACAGATATTATTTAAAACCATAAACCTATAACACCATACGTAACAATGCAAGATAAATATTAGCTATAGCTCGGCAGCCACTGAACGGAGATCACCATACTAGGGACTTTGATTATATTAATACCCATTGAGTGTTGATGAATTATGAATGTTAAATATACGTTTTGTCACAATAGGTTGTGATAAAACTCGAGACATTACAAATGTTAACATACACCATTTAATACAGGCATGCCGAATGGCTGAACATGGCTGAAATTGGGATTTTCGCTGTTTTAACAGTGAACATACTCTTCCCAAAAAGTAGGGGATCATGAAATAAAAATTTGAAGAGAGGTCGTGAGAAGAAAGCTCAGTTATGAATAATGACCGACAGAGATTGAACGTTTTGTGTACCAAACCAACGTCCCAAAAAACCCTAAACATTGCACGATATAAACCATGTGTAGAGGGCTATTCTTGATTTTGACACTTCATGGAAAGGGCGTCAAATCGCGATCAGCCATCAGTATTTTCATTACCTACAGTAACACGTAATCTCTCTACGGTTGCTTCATTGCAGTGTGCAGTTGGAATGCGACGTCTACAATGTGATGAACACCAAAGAGCTATTGGCATGCGTTAAACTTGTAGAAATCAGCGAGAGGTAGCAAATATGTTCAATGTGCGTCAGTCTGAAAATTGCAGACTTTTGGACTAGGTTTCTTCAGTCGAAAACATGTCAATGATCAATAACACAAGTCCAAGAAATTAGCTTGAGGAAATCGAGCCCAACAGCCAATCATATTGCTGTCCACCTGTACCAGCCCGGCGGTGTTCACGTTACTGACCAGACGATTCGAAATCGTCTGCGTGCAGCTAATCTGACAGAAGCGCCCTTAGATACTGAGGTTGAGACGTGTGAAAAGGGGGAGGTAAACCAGGATTGAAACATGGGTGAAACGTGTGTAATTCAAAAGCCCGACCATAACAAATTGAATTGGGACATTCACGAGTGAATCTTTGTCTATTTGTGAGACATATTGGATTACAATAATAGGGTGTTTTTTTCATCTCTAGGAAATTCTGCATGTTGAACTCCGCACTCCTGATGCCCAGTGTGGTGTATGTTTGGAATATTGCTGACCATTGCGAAAACACAATTCACTTTATGTTTCTCAACACGTAGACCCACAACGAGGACACATAATGATTAAGATAAAAACAGTCAAACACCTGTGAAAATATACAGTCATATCATGGAATCCATTTCGGCAGATACTGTAGACTGGTCATTCATGTGTTGACGTCTTTTTGTTTACTGAGAGGTGATACATGTGTTATTCTTGATTATGAACAAAATGATATGATTTAGTCCTTTATGAAATCTTTGACAAACAGAATTAGATTAAGTGACCATCAACTGGATATTGAAGCTCCACAGAAGTCCATTTACCGATCCTACCACTGTTTTCAACAAACTTTGACAATCTTATCAAATTTAAAATCAGTTGTTCCTTTACTGACTTCATTGGACTCTCGATCACCCTTACCGACCCTACCATTCTTGCTTGAGAATGTTTCAGTCTTATCAGGCTATTGTTGGTCTTCCTGTACCATATCCGTTCCCTCACTTCGCTCTTTCCTCCAATGTCCAGCTGATACAATGAAATTCTGTTCAAATAGGTGTAAAAGACAACTCACGCACTTACCCACCAACGCAAACCACCGAAAACAAACTCACTCACTCATTCGAACTTTTTCAAGCTGATAGAACTAACATACTGTTCAGATCATTGTAAAACACAGCTCACCCACACACACACTCTACATAAAACACCGAACTATACTCGCAATTCAAAGACTATCCTTTGGGTTTCCGCCACAGGGTGTATCTCAGAAAATTGTTAGCTGTGTATACACAATAGGCGGTCACTCTTGATTCCAAGTGTGATCTGGACCCGTGAAGATTCCGGGGTAGAATAGGTCTTCAGCAACCCATGCTTGCCGTAAAAGGTGACTATGCTTGTCGTAAAAGGCGACTAACGGGATCGGGTGGTCAGGCTCGCTGACTTGGTTGATGCATGTCATCGATCCCAATTGTGTGGATCGATGCTCATGATATCAATCACTGGATTGTCTGGTCCAGACTCTATTATTTACAGACCGCCGTCATATAGCTGGAATATTGCGTTAAACAACAAACCAACCAACCAACCAAGTGTGATCTGTGATATGTACCTGACTGTTTTACAGTCATCGTTGTGAGCTTCATAAAAATGTATAATTGGTTCTCGTTGCTATGTGGTTGAGACATAGCAACGTTAAATAGAAACTCAGGCTCACTCACTCGAGTTTCACATGACTATTTATTTACGCCGCCGCCGCCTGTAAATAACCTAAATCTTCGATCAATGCCACCGGAGAACGATAACATGCAAACAGCCGGGTCAGAGACGAAACACGTGGTTCTCCAGTCTATCCAAAAGAAGCAATTATTCTACCTGTTTTATTACCTATACAGCGCGTTATTACACTTGGACCATTCACACCACTATGTGGGTATAAACATCGATGATTATTATTATAAAATCATCATGTTGGGGAAATGCTCCTTATTTTGCATTGATGAAACTTTGTGTTCAATCATTTTCCTATGAGGGATGGTGGTGTGGTTCCGTAGCGTTCTGAAAGTAAACAAAGACATACGTTATATACTCTGCATGTATATAGTGTTTATTGTATTCCTATGAATAGGGTTAAACGCTTTCAAACAATAATGTCAAGTAAAGACACAAAACTTCTATGACTTAACAGACTGATAGCAGCAACATAAATCCCACACGTCCACTCAGTATTCTCACCTAAATAAATGTGGACAGAATCTTGTGTTCTCCTGGGTTTAACCTCATTTACATATAATCAAATAGCTGGATTAGACAGTATCATATCCAGGTCACAGAAGGCAGTAACACCAAGCAATTCAAGGCAATGGATGATGGCTCTTCTCAGAAAGAGAAGATATATGTCACGAGGAGCAGATTGTAAGGGCCTGAGATATAATGTATAAGAAAGTGGTACCTGGGTATATCATAATGCATCTTGGATGCATATCACCTCCATCTTGATGCATCTTGTCACAACACGACTGCGTTGCAGTGAACTCAAATGGCAGCAACTGTCCTTCGTAGCAAAAGTAAGACATGCAGTTTTTCACGCGGCCGTCATTCTCTGAACATCCAAGTGTGGTCGGTGGCCCAAGGGTAGTCGGGTGGGTGGTCGGTGGTCCCAGGGTAGTCGGGTAGGCCAACGCTGTGGTGTGTGGTAAATAGAAAATATCAGTGGCACTAACATACACCTTTGAGTTTACATACAGACATATTGTATTCAGTATTAGATATATAGTCTGCAGTTTTTATCATTGCATAAATGTAGACCGTTGAAGCATTATGTCAGCTTGTGTCATACTTGGTCAATGATCAGGCTTACATGTTCAAAGATTTGAAACAGTTTTTCTATTGGGAAGGCTAATGGTTGTTGAAAATTTGGGTAAAGTAAATTGTAATTTTAACAACATGTTTTGTCTGTCTAAATGACATGTTAAGGGCGTTCTGTTTCTTTAAAACGTTATACTGAGTCCCATATTTATAAAAAGTGGTGCTAGTTAAAATTATGTCGTGTAAAACGACATCTGTACTACAGCTAGGCGAGAGTAAATACGACAGTTTGTCAGAATATCAGCAGTAACTACTCAAGTGTCTTGTAACTGACATAGTATGATACTGGTGATGGTGATAGCAGTCAAATGTGTACAAATAGACATCGTTATCACTGGACATGTAACAATGTGTAATTTTGTACCGTGTATGTGTGTGCATGTAGATTTGTTCCGCGTAGGTGTGTACATGTAGATTTGAACCGTGATCACCTGCATGGAATGTAGCATTATACACAGTGAAAGACAATCATTGTGAAAATAGGTTCTTTTGTTTGGTTGTTTGTTGTTTTACGTCGGAGGCAGCAATATTCCAGGTAAATACAGACTGTAAATAATCCAGTTATTGAAGGATCTGCAATATTCTACACGATAGGGACATGAGACACAAATTAACCAAGTCAAAGAACCTGAAAATCCGACCCAATCTTGTTGCCTCTTAAAACCAGCAATGGCTGGTTGGGTACCTTTTCTAAGCCCCATACTATTCTAAAGAAGATACGTCAAGGATATACCTACTACAATGTATTCCAACAAGCAACACCCACAGAACAGTATTCACCGCCATGACTTTTTCTGACTTCACTTGCCTGAAGATAACTGAGCAAGTTTACCGAAAGACCAATGATTACAATTTGGGTGCGTTTCGTAGATAATATAACTAAGTCACTGGTCCAGGTCATGATGTGATCAACAATCACTGCTATCCCATGTGTGTTTTCGTACCTAAATATACTTCTTGATTTATTTGTCATATTGTCATTATTTACTAAAAATATAGATTACACGAGGTCTATGAGATTAACAATTTCATTTTATCAGTCAGTCCTTGTGAAACATATGTGTTGGCATGTAGCTCGATAAGAGCCATTATAGTCACTGTTTTGTCTTGTGGTTGACCAAATTCAAGGAAATATGTGGTAAATGGCCCTGATATGAGGATGAGGCTAACCAGCCTGACTGCCGGATCATCCAAACCCTCCTTGCTGCATTTTATATTTCCTATGACACCAATATTTTAGTGTATTTCTCAAACAAGTAAAGTTTGGTTTTCAATATAGTAGTACATGTATGGAATCAAGATACAAAAACGCAACTGGGATTCCATATGCATTGTTTAGCATCGTGCTGACAATATCCACTCAAAAAAGCAAAATATTACGCAATTATTCAACATTACGAAATGCCACGCCTGTCCGAAAATGAGCGTCTGTGAGCCATTGGTATGATCGAGTCAACGTGATGTTGCAAGACAATTTAACGTCCACAGAAACACCATTTGGTGTTTTATGGCAACGTTGGCAACAGACGAATTCAGTCAGAGACCATTCCTGGAGTGGCAGGCCACGCGTAACCAATAATCGACAAGACAACTGGATTCGAACAAGACACCTACGAAATCGATTCCAGCCAGCAACAGTGACTGCAAGAAGCATCACTGGCCTTCGACGAATATCTTCACAAACCGTACGTCGCCGCCTCAAATGTGCAGGGATTGTGCATGGATTGAAGACCCACCAGACGTCCCATTTTGACAGGATACCACCGTCAAGCACGTCTACAGCCGTGCAGACAGCGTCTACGCTGGACGGCCATACAGTTGGGACAAGTTCTATTCACTGACGAGTCTAGTTTTCACCTCAGCCACAGCGATGGACGGATTCGAGTGTACCGACATCGAGGTGAACGTTACGTCAATCATTGTGTCATGTCAGATCGGTTCGGGGGCGGCAGCGTTATGGAATGAGGTGGGATTACAGCAAAACAGAGGACCCGTTTGATAGTGGTAGAGGGAAATCTCAATGGACAGCGCTACCGCTTCGGCCCTGTTGTTCTACCGTTTTTGCGTCGTCATGGCCCAGGGATTACCTTTCAACATGACAACGCCCGGCCACATATTGCTCGCTTGTTCAGGAGTCTCTTCAACAAAACAACGTGAATGTCATCCTCTGGCCGGCTCGCTCCCCTGATCTCTCACCAATCGAGCACATTTCGGATGAGATTGATCGGCGCCTTTGACGTCAACCACGTGTTCCACAGACACTCAAGGTACTTCGAAACATGCTTCAGCAGATATGGGCAGATATCCCAGAGGACTTTGTGCGACGCCTGGTGCATTCCATGAGACGAAGATGTGTTGCATGCATCGCAACCAGAGGTGGACACACACGAAATTGATTTGTGAATTGACATTTTGGCATGTTCATGTGGTTTTTTTTATGAAATCACGCATTTTCTGAAGTGAGTATGGCAAATTAAACCAGTTGAACACTTACAGGAGTCTTTTAGCTGTTGCAAACCGAAATTTTTTCAGATTTGGTAAAAAACATAACTTTGTATTAAATCTTATTCAATGTCACAGGAACTTTTGATATTTAGTATATAATTCCCACTCTATATTGAGCATGTGTTTATGAATAATTATTTTTAAATGGGATGATACCAGGCGTTCGCGACAAGTATCATAAACTTCTACCAACTTCACCATGTACAGTACAAGGTTGCATTTTGTAAAGTATTGACAAATCACTCATGAAATTCATTCCGTACCTTATCTGTAAACACTCCATAGGCATACATCCTTTCCCTACCACAATTGCTGTTTGTTGATAGTTTGAATCAAACAGCATTCAACGCAATATTTGTGTAAACTAGTGTTTATGCAGCCGCTGACTTTGGTGTTCACATTTCACAAATTTTGAGGTGCATTCGAGCATGCTCGTTCTTCCAAGATTTCAAGTGCGTCATAAGGCTCTTGTTGAAAAGTGGTTTGATCACGGTTACAACATCCAAGGAATCAGTAAAGCGTCCAAAACGTGCTATGGTAGACATGTGGAGAACATTTCCGAAACTTGAAGCATCTCTGACTAAAATGATGTCCGATGCAATTCCCTATTTTGACTTGAAACATATGTTCTCGTGTTTTGTTTCAGGTGAATCCTTTACTTGCCATTGCATGTGTTTGCGATGGGTACCAACGATGGAGCAGGAAACGCTCACCTGGTATCATAACTATTTGATTGGGATTCATAAACGCGTGCTTTTGATAGAGTTGGAATCGTACAATCGTCTCTGCTTTTGGCAGGGAATTCTTATGAAAATGGTTAGGTTTTTGCCAACCTCAACTTTGGCAAATTTCTTTCTTTGACTTCCCCAAAAGTTCCAGATACAGCTTTAGATACAGCAAATAGATTGAGTGTAATTGGTTGATGATCAGAAGCCTCAGTCACCAGGAATCAATATTGTGTGATCTTTTTATTGATCTTTTCATTTGAATTGTTATGTTCATGACGTCTCTTTTTTGTTTTAAATTGAGCCAGATAGTTGTTGTACTATGGTGAAAGGAATTTATTCTGCAACCCATCTCCCCACCCGCCATCGAGTATCAACAAAGACGATGTTGCTTATTTTCTAACAAACAAAAAGAAAACACCACTTTAGCCCTTGGTTAATTAATACATGTACCAGGTAAGGATGAAATGTCTTTCACAGTTTTCAAGTTGTGCTCCGGAAACGACACCTACCCCTACCTTTTGAAACTAAGTCCAAATTGTTTCCATGGTAATCAAGAAAAATAAAAATGCCAAAAATCCGAAAATACCAAAAGGCACCACATCAGATTCTGTGTGATATATCTTCCAAGTTTTGCTGAAAAATATAGAACGGTTTTCGAGTTACGCTCGAGAAACCAAAAACAAGTCGCGCAAAATTATCTGTGAAACTAGCAATCGTGTCCTTGGTCAACTTCCTTCCATAAAGATTAAAAAATAAAAATGTTAAAAAATTACAAATAGCAAAAGGCACCACTTCAGACTGATACATCTTTATAAATATACTGAATGGTTTTCGAATTCTGTTCGGAAACGAACCCAATCCCCAATTGTGTCTATGTCCAACTTTTTTCCATAAAAAAATAAAAATTCGAAAAATCACAAAATATCAAAAAGAACCACTTCAGTATGTGACTGATAGATTTGCCAAGTTTCGAACAAATACGCTGAATGGTTTTCGAGTTCTGCCCCGGAAAAGGAAATGATTATTGACAGACGGACAGACGGACGGACATACAGACTGGCTGATCGCTATATCCCCCCCGCAATAAATATTATATGCCGGGGGGTTAAAATATGTATTCCTCATTCAAAGCATGTATTAAAACTGACTCGGGTATAACTTCTTGCTTTACTACTTCTGAAATTCTGTTTCTGAAATTTACAAAGAATGTCATCATGGTTGGTTGGTTGGTTTGTTGTTTAACGCCGCACTCAGCAATATTCCAGCCATATGACGGCGGTCTGTAAATAATCGAGCCTGGACCAGACAATCCAGTGATTGACATCATGAGCATCGATCCACGCAATTGGGATCGATGACATGTATCAACCAAGTCAGCGAGCCTGACCACCCGATCCCGTTAGTCGCCTTTTACGACAAGCATAGTCTCTTTTTACTGCAGGCATGGGTTGCTGAAGACCTATTCTACCCAGAATCTTCACGGGTCCGTCAGTGTCAAAAACACCTGCCTGGTCATTGGCTGCTGGTCTTCACCGTCGATTAACTGACCAACTACAAATGACCTTGATCCTATAATACTTCCTTTTTTACCTTCCTCAAAAATAAATACACAAACCAGAAAGATGGAGAATTAATGCCGACATGTGACTACTTTTCTAGTTTAATCTATTCACCAAGTTTAAATAATAGTACAGGATTAATAATAAGTGCGTGGTTATGTACATTTAGTAATGTATATGGCAAGTTGCTTATTATGAAGGTGTAACACGAAGTTCAACAATAAGCGATAGTGGTGCACGGCATCAATGGAAACCATCGTTCTTACCTGCCATCAAAATCTTTACATGGTACATTGGACTATCATTTAATATTTTTACTCAAGCTATTAAAAACGTCTTCAGGGTCAGTGCTGTGTCAGTATCGGATGGGCAACCGCCTCATGGGGGGACTCCCACAACGGTGAGCCATGGACAAAGCACTTTTTGGATATGTTGCAGGGTCTTGGTGTTGTCTGAACAAGCTGGTCTTGAGAGTAACCACTGTGCTCTCTGAGATTTTGACATTCCGTGTCCTTATGTCAGTCCACCTGTTTTTTTTGTTTTTTTTATTTGTTAAGATTTTTGAAAGATTTTTTAAATCTTTATTCAAATTTCAAATAAAATACAAGTGTAGCATTTCATCAATTATACATTTTTCAAAAACCAATCCCTTTACATCAAACTTTCAAAACATATTGAAAATATGGACAATCATAAAATATGATATCGTACTAGTATTCTTTGCTAGGATTGAAAAGTCTGTGGAAGGAAGACCAGAACTGAAAGAAAGCTGTATAATTGCAATTTGAGAATGCAATTAACTTGGTCATATTGTAGTATGTAATAACTTGACGTTGAATATGTTTAGCTAAAAACCCTTTCGTGATTGTTTAAACACAATAAATTTGATAAGTAATATAATTACATTGAGAGAGTTATTCTTTCCCTTAAATCCACATAAAATATTTTCGTTACAGAAGTCAAGTCTTGCTTCCACAGATGTCGTTAACCAGTTGAGAACAAGCTCCCACATGTGAGCAACCTATTCACAATCATAAAATGCATGTACACTAGTTTCACTATATATAC